ACTGCGAGTCTAGCCGTACTTAAGTACGGCTAGCCTCTTCCTTCTGACTGATCAGGAAATATGGCAACCACCTGAATAGGTTTGTGACTTGGACATGTAATCTTTTGATACTAGACCTAATGTCTCTTCAAAGCATATATTTAAAATTGAAAAAATAAACAGAGAAAAAAAAAACCCAACCGAAAAAAACAACAGGCAGACAACATCTCAACCCAAGTCTCTCAAATCATGTCAAATGGTGTGGTAATCTGTAGTCGGTGAGGAAAACAGGTACTCCCTGCTCAACCTCTATCTCACCCAGAACAATGAACAAAGACAACTCAAAAGCCAACACATTTTAAAGTAAAGTTAATACATAATATGTATGTAACCCTTTAATGAATAAAACAAGACCTCCCATTCAAAATGCACTATACTATATTATGCCTACTCTGCAAATTATTTTTTATAAAAGATTGTTGATTGTCATAGTTTTGTTGATCAGTCCAGTGTTCATACCAGTCCTAATAATAAAATAAGTTATGTCAAATCATAGACTGCGTAATGTAAAAAAAAGTTTCACATTTTGGATATGGTTTTGGAGATTAAAGAAACAACCCGAGTCTTAAAATTCATGCCCTAAATTTGGCAGATCTGTATTGCTACTAAACAACACTTTCAATTAACCTTACAATCAGCATGAGTTACCAATATAATAATAATTGATAAACAAAGTGGCTATTCGGACTTGAGTCCGAACAGCCGCTGGAGGCTATTCGGACTCAAATTCCAGTGCGTGTGCGTAATCACTGGTTGTACCGTAATACGGGGTGCCCACTACAGATGGGATCGGCCGATCGCGCCGATGGCCCGACTCGGTCGCTGAAAATCGAGTTGGGCGATTGGCCTGATCCAGCCGTAGTGGGCACCCCGTAAAATATTTATTTTCAGTTTCAGGCGATCGGCCCGATCCAGCCGTAGTGGGCACCCGTATAAGCGAGGTCTATTCTCGAGTCCGAATAGTCCCCCGTTGCTATTCGGACTTTAAACTACTGGTAGACTACATGTATTACACTGCGTTTCACGACTACTAAGGGATCAAAACATAAAATTCATAATCTAAAATCAGTCCTTTAAGACAACCCTTTCCTCCCCTTTCTCTCTCTCTCTCTCTCTCTCTTTCTCACTCTCTCTCTCTCTCACTCTCTCTCGCTCTCTCTCGCTCTCTCTTTCTCTCTCTCTCTCCCTCTTCTCTCTCTCACTCTCTTACTTTTCCTCTGTCTCTTTCTCTTACTTTATCTCTCTCCATCTTACTTCCCCAGGCCCGCCATCGTAGAAACCGAGGAAGGCCCAGGTCGAATTGCTTGTCTGCTTCACATCCAGTACACCTAGTGATTACACACGCATTTTGGAGTTTGAGTCCAAATAGCCACAGTAGGCTATTCGGACTCGAATTCAGACTCGAGTCCGAATAGCCGCGGCCAATAGATAAAACCCTTGCTCTCTCTCTCTCACCGGACACCGACACTGCTTTCAGTCTAGGCAGAAGGTCAAGTTAGAAATAATTTGAAAACAAGGCTCTATACTATGCTATAAAACAAAGGGAAGCTGCTTTTCTTCCTTTGAGTTTTTGAATGATGGAAATTTACCCTGAAATAGCATAGTATGTGTGTACATTTTTTAACATATTATAAATCGGGCCCATGGCAAAATGATGGCAACAATGTTAAAACAGACAAAAAACGAAAACAAAGCCCCCCCCCCCCAACAAATTTGAAAAAGTAGATTCCTTCTTTTTCACATTCGAGTTTGCAACCAAAATCATCAACATATTTGCCAAGTTTGTTCTAGGAGAAGTTGTAGTTGAGAGTGGAGCGTGGCGGAGCAAAATTAGTGGAAAGACTACCAATGTGAAAAACGTAGTAACTTCTTTGCAAATATTGGTATAGGGGGCATCATTCATGTAAATTTTCAACCCAATAGTCCTACTGTTTATTTCCCTTGATATAGCCTGAAATTTGCAAATAAAAAATTTCAAAAGAGTGTCACGTTATAGATTTCCACGTCCCACCAACTGAGGACAGACAGATAATACCATTATTAAACCACTGACCTCCAACATCACGCTCGTTCAAGGTTGGCTGTAATTGGTTGGGGAGAGGGGGGGAGGGGATGTCTACTCCACACTGTTTTCTCGTCACCAATGTCCAGTGGCAGCACTGATATATTCCCTATCCCAATCATCACTCATCAAGTTCAACTTCAATCACGATTCATCAGAATCCAATGTCTGGTAAAACAATTTTGCCCTTGCGCACTGCTTTCATGTTGTTACGAGCCTTTGACATATGTGTCCGTTTTGGATTTTCTGTCTTGCACTCGTGATCGAAGTGATAGGTCTGTTCACGGACGACAGTCAACCTGGGACAAACTGAACACGGTCTTGTTTTTTAATGCGAGTTTGAGAACTGGAAGACCAACTATGCTTTGACCCCAAGGACCTTACGGTATAGTATAACCTAACTAACTAGATGGGACAATCCTTTTTTACGCCATGTGTCAAGAACAGGCCCCTCCCACTTTTGAATTAGCGCGTATAACTCACTGGGCAAGCGGTAGTTTACACTGGTTACCGTGCTAAGCTAATACTGATCGTCCCGGGTGGTATTAATAATCATGAAATAGAAGAGGGGCGCCCCGTTAGCTCCGGTGGTATCATTCTGGATTATGGAGCGGATGGCCCGGGTTCGAATCCCAGACTGAACATTCTTGAACTGTGTCGTTTTCTGGAGTTTTCAAGGCTCTCAACCCATTGGCTCAGTCCTATAGGTAATGGGCGTTTTAAATAAGCTCATTAAACAGTGTTAATAGGGGTGTTAAAAGTAAGCCCATACCCCTTACTTACATTAAACAGAAAAAATTTCAACCTTTTTCCAACCTTTAGTCTAAAGTCTGAGCACTGAAGGAAAACAAATCAGACGTAATAAGCCTAGCCTCAGTTAGCATGTCCTCTTGCCGTTCTGGTCGAAATTAAGGTTTTAAAAAATGTTTTAGGTAGTGTTTTACTGCTCTTGCAACACAATCAGGTTATATAAGTGCCAGAGATTACAGGTGTTACAATACAATAGAGTAACAAACACGAAAAGGATAGGTAAAGACGATAGATATTTGATAGGAAAGAAGGAGTAGGAGCAAACCACACCAGAGCACCCACCAACCACCGGCAAATTATGTGTTTAAATTATGATGATGATGATAATAATAGAAATAAAAATCATAATCATAATAAGCATTATAATCATAGTATTACGTAAGTATGATAACACATTATCGAACTGTTGATCCAACTGATACAGTAATTTCTTCCGAGTTTATGCAGCATATCATCATTATACGTATTGTTTTAAAGTAATCAAAGTTGGGCATTTTGCACCCCCACCCCTCCCCCTTTTTTTCTCCCACACACACACTACACACACACACACATACACACACACTCCTTTAATGTTACTTCGTGTGTAGGGGCTTACATGATGTCAATGTAATAAACTCTAAAATTTTGCAGTCAAATGGAACCGTTCAGTCGGCCCCCTCAGAGTAATGATTAGTGTTCTTTGTAGTGGTTAGGCTCTCAGACTCGCAACCGTTAGGCCAAGGGTTTGATTCCCTTCAGGGACTCGACGTTGTGTGCTTGGGAAAGGCACTTTACACGAATTTTCCTCATTTCACCAAGGTGGAAATGGGTACCCCGCAATAGGCAGCGAAAAATCTTGTCAGTTTGTGAGTATTTGATCATGTACAATCCATAACTTGCACTGTATGCTTCCTGGGAAGCCGAGAATGTTTTCTGGTTGTTCTAGGTCTAGGGTCTGCTGAGGTAAAAATAGTTGTAAAACGTATAAAGCATGCTGTAGAGTGGGGATATGTGATAAATGCAATTATTATTATTAGCAGTAGTAGTATTCCGTAACAGCATGCCACTTCAACACCATAGTATAGTTAAGTTGCGATCTGTACTGACTTCTGAATGTTTCAGATGTCTGACCAGATGAATCGCCGACCCTTCACCATAATGCTTCTCGGGAAAGTTGGCCATGGCAAGACAGCCACGGCTTCGAGTATCCTTGAGAGAAGCGTTAGTCATATGGACGAGTCAACCACTGACGTATTCTTGGCTGGCAGCTGTGTCTCGGCTGATGGTGTCAGTAACATAGCTGTCATTGACTCTCCTGGACTTTTTGACACTTGGCCCATAGATGATGTGCTAGACACAACAAGGATGTTTGACCACATTAAAGAGGCTATCAACATCAGCGCTGATGGAATCACTGCCTTTGTCATAGTTTTTCGCTATGGTGCTCGTTATACTGATGACGAGCAAAAAGTAGTCTGTAATTTAGAGCAGACTTTTGGCCCTCGCTTCTTTGCTGAGCATGTCATTGTCTTATTCACTCACGGAGAAGATTATCGAATGAGACATGGATGCGCTCCTTTTGAGGACTGGGTGCTCTCCCAAATGGCTGATGTGCAAAAGCTGTATAACATGTGTCGAGGCAGATGTTTGCTTTTCATGAACGTAACTCGGTCAGTAGAAACAGCTTCTGAACAGAGGAGAAAACTACTGAACGTTCTCTCCGGAATGACAGAGAAATTTACAATTACTGATTACAGGGAAATGAGGCCTAATATCGATAAGCTTCTGTCAGTGCTTAAGAAGAGTAGTGGCGTTAGAGGTTTTCTGCGAAACATGTGGCATTGGTTTGGGAAGCCTATTTACCTAACACCTCTTTTCTTTTTACTCTTTCTTTATTACTTCCGTTTCCACTACCGGAGTACTGCTGAAGTTGTACCCTATAATAAGTTATAAAATCTTCCGAAGAAGGCCCGGTCAGGTGGTCACTAAAAAAAAAATTTGCGTCAGCTTTTAAAAGATAAAAGTTAAATCTATTTTCCTTCGCGTCTTTTGAGACACTTTGGCCTCATTGAAAAAAGCTGCTTATAATATTATATTGATATCAGCTTCCAGGAGAGTTTGGGGCTTGGGTAAAGAGAAGCAATGTACGGACATGATAAACGCAACTTTGTTTCGGGAGAAAGCAACACACAGGCAGAAACGACAGAGACAAAAGAAAGGAGGACTTACCTTACCACCTGTGACTACCTCCAACTTGTCACCAACTCGGAGAAGTTACATGTAATGGGGCTTTTAAAAAATCGTAGAAATCTTTTTCCCCAGGCTTTTTTTTTCAATGAAGAACAATGAAGAACATTGAAGAACAATGAAGAACAATGATGAACAATGAAGAACATTGAAGAACATTAGAAATGCAAGCGTGCTACCTTTTTTTGTACGTATTTTGTATGCCATTTTACTAACTGCATGAGAAGTTTCAACCCATCTTATCTCTTACTTCAAAAGATATGGTTGCTTTTGTAGGTTAAAGTAGCAATGAAGCTTGTAGACTCGATATAATGGTCATATATAGTATAGAGAGTCTGTAAAAATTAGAGAAGGCAGCACAAAAAGAGGGTATTAAAACAGGACCTTATCTGAACAGTACAGTGGAACTTGGATTTAACGAGCTCGGATTCAACGAGAACTCGGATTCAATGAGATTAGATAGATTCCCCTTTTTTTTTCTTCTTTAAAATCAATAAAAGTTACCCGGATTCAACGAGCACTTAAATCAGCGAACTCGGATTCAACGAGGTCGCTTCCAGGGTGAACAGCCCCCACAGACGTGACTTCGCTAATTTTTATCCCAGAACGAACTTCTATCTATTCCTGGAAACCATCCATTGCACGTGCACCGTGAACCATTATTCACTTAGCCGATTTCATGCGACCAATGAGCGGCCCTTCTTCCATACCAACACATGCATTGTTGGCACGCGCACGTGTCTACTCTGGCGTGAGCCGGGGTCGGATGGGCGGCCTGCACACATGTGGCTGTGTGTGCGTGTCGGGTGTGGGGGGGGGGGGGGCACTAGCGATCTGGGCGTTGAACGTCGCAGATACAAACGCGTCACCGCCTTTTTTTCCCCTTCGGCAACTGATCATTATTACAATAATAAGCTAGTCTTGACATAGATCTACGTAGGCTACTGAATTTTGCGCTGGTCTATGGAACTAAAAGTTGCCGTATGCTAGGCTCTACACAGGAACACAACTTTTTGGTAAACAATCGAGATGACACAAGCGTGTCGGTCTTTTTTTTTTTACACTGCTCATAATATGCAGTCATTTCAGACACTACTTGTGACTTCTCCTGTACATTACTTGCTCAGTGCCTGTAATTATCTACAAAAAACCTTGTGTTTGCTATAACGAACACTCGGATTCAACGAGATTTTAGGTCAGGCCCGACAACCTCGTTGAATCCGAGTTCCACTGTAGTGCCTTCCAAACATCCGCAGAGGCTCTCTGGAAACTGAGTTTTCATTTTTCCTAAGATTAAATCTGGACTTTGAATGTAAGAATAACCAATTTTATTGTTCGAGTAGAAATTGAACTTTTTAATAAAACGAAAACACACGATTTTAAACAGCTTTGTGACGTACTTTGACTTGCTGGTCTAATTGTCGAATGGCAAATTTCTCTCTAATGCAGACGGTTTTGCCGAGAAAGTGTTTATGAAGTTCTCCGACATAAGGCTTTCAATTAAATTCAATCTGTTTTATGTTGAGATTTATTCATGTTTTGTCATATGTTGAAATTTATAATTTATGTTTTGTCATAATTATGTTGAGATCTATTTATAGCCGATATATAGAGACTGCTTGACCATTTTGAAGGACCCACCCGCCCCACCCCAAAATCCTCTCAGCCCCAACCCCACCTTAATACGCCACATCGCGTTGCCAGGTAGAATAATATTAACAACCGATCATTGTTTCGCAGATCCAGGGGGAGGGGGGAGGGGTGTGATTTTGGCTTGATGGAGACTTCATTATGTTGTATCAGCCCTGTCAGAGACTTTTTAAAAAAGAAGAAAAAAGCACCTCCCTACTTGTATTTACCCATGACGCTGAAAGTGAAAGAAATGACTGACACCGATTTCTGACCCATTGATAAAAGCGACAAACTGAAAATTATTGTGAAGATCCTCAAAAGCAGGGCCCACTATTGGTCTGTGACATCAGATGGTCTGGAATTTTTTTCCTCAGTCAGTCCCCACTACCACTACTACCAGTATGGCCAGACGACTCAACATCGTGTTGATGGGCAAGACCGGCAATGGCAAAAGTTCCACCGGAAACAGCATCTTAAACAGTACCTCCTTCTTATGTCCTGATTCAGCAAGCTCAACTACCCAGGCGGTTGACTCGGACACCAGGGTGGTACAAAATTACGCGGTCACTGTTGTGGATACACCAGGGATGAGGAACAAGACAGATGACAGTGGGCGTGTCGACAGTTCCGCTGAAACATACGCGGCCATGGAATACATGAATACAGCTATCTCTCGTTGCCCGGATCAAGAAATACACCTATTCCTTCTAGTTCTACCCTATGGATGTACATATACCGGGGATGAGATCGGTGTGGTAAAGGACTTGACGAAGAAAGGTTATGCTGAACACATGCTGCAACGGACTGCAGTGGTTTTCACCCATGGCCGTGATTTTGTACTAAGATATGGTTCATCCCCTAATGCGTTTCATCAGTGGTGTTTGCGCCAAACTGGCAAACTAAGACAGCTACTTAGCAAGGTAGATTACAGATGCCTGCTGTTTGAAAACATACAGCCTGATGCCAATACACAGGCATTTCAAAGACAGATGGTCCTTGACATGGCTAACAATGTTCGCTCTCGTAGAGGCCCGTTCACTAAGAGGGGTTTCCTTAACTCACTCTGGTGGTGGGATAGGTTGTGGCTGGGTGAATGCAATATTCTGTAATTTGTAATACTATCATGCCTGATCTGGCTGCTCTTTGTAACCACGACAGAGTCGGATCCGTTGTGCTTTTGTTTCATCACTTTTAAATTGTCGTATTTTGATCGGAAGACTTTGGTCATAGGAAAATGTAGGGTTGTGTCGAAAGAGCCCTGTTCAAAGATCATTACCTTACATATGAAATTGTGGACAAACTTTACACCACAGAAGTGGACTGACGACATACAGATATAAGCTGCGTGTCCACCGAAGCAGAACTGGCCCGGTTTTTGTCGAGCTGGGCAAATTTCGGTCTGGTCGTTTCCGGCATATGTGCATGAACAGGTCAAAGGTTAAAGAACACAAGGCAGGACTAACAGCGAGAACAATTCTAGAGAAACGAACCAGTTGAAAGTTAAATACATGTGTGTACAGTCCATGCCGGCTTTAAGCACGGTCATCGGGAGAAGGCATAAGCGTGCTTAATGCTGAAGCGTGTGTTCATCACTAATTGCGTTCTTTGTGATTCTCTTAGCATACTCACTGCTGTTGTGTAGACTGTGTTCGAACTTCGGTGGGTCATCATGAAAGTATTGATCGTCTTGTAAATGAAGCGTGCCCGAAGCCGAAGTTACCATGCTTAAAGTTAAAGGCGTGTAATTTATATAGCAAAAATTCGGTTAGAGCCATTTAGCGTGCTTGAGTCCGAAACGTGCTTTATGCCGGCGTGCCTAAAGCCGGCACGGACTGTATATATAATATGCATTGAAACCGGTAGTCTTCGCGTAGACGTTGCTAAATATGAGGTGTTGATTACGAATAAACCATAAGATTTTTTTATGGGAACTTAAAAATAGACATATAGTAATTTTGTTCTTTTTTTTTTTCTCTGGCTGGGCTAAGGCTGATGAGTCACCAGACGACCCCACTAAACTGTGGCAAGCGGCATTCCAACCGACCCGACTTTCGTCGGAAACCTCACTGTTGGTTGCAAAGGTAATAAACTGGTACATGTACCATGGTAGGCCTACTATTTCAACTACCGATTTCCCGAGAGATGGACAACTTTTGTTCTGTTGGTTTCTGGTTTAGTGGACACGCGGACATAGACCTCCAGGCAAGACAAGGGTTTTAGGCCGTCTGACTGTTTACCGAAAAGCTTCAACTCTTTAAAATTTATATTGATACAAGCGCCAGTTGAACACAGGTACAAAGTATGACATGTTCCACAATATAGTTTTTCATTGTCCATTTTAAGCAGTCCATTTAAAATATTGCTTTTTTAAAAATGTTTCACAAGTAGGCTAAAAATACTCCGGGTGGGGGCACCTTGTAACAGTTTCACTTCTTTCTTATCTTTTCTGTTCTTATCAAAGAAACTGCTCATGCTCCAATTTCGGTTTTAATTTTTTTTTGTTGCATATCATGACTTAGTGTAATCAGGCGCTCGTCAATTTTTGGACGTTAATACATGTATCATGATACATCTTGCAATGTTATTACGTTGTGCTACTGTTATCGTTTTTTAATGTAGGTATCCCCCCCCCCCAATAGATACATTAAGTTATATGAGGAGCCCATTAGAACGATTGGTTCGGTTTGGTTTGCTAGCCAGATAGAGGGTGCAAAGCAATCGTGGCACAAACCGATCGCCTGACTTGTACCCTCAAAAAACAAAAACGTTTGTTTTCAGGCAACAAGTCAGGCGATCGGTTACCGACCCCCCAATGGGCACCCCGTATCGCCGAGCCTATCTGTCGAGGCCAACTCAGACCGAAAGGAACACCGCCTCCCAGCAGAAAGGTCGAGGTACAAAATATGTACTTGATAAAAATTCTCCCCTCTCGAGGATTGAACTCGGGTCTCTTGTGTGAGACAGCGAAGTGTCTAACTGCTACACCACAGACGTCAGTTTATTCGTCACCATATATGTCTCCATTACAGTGCGGTCCAAAATTCGTGGCGCAACTTATTGTCAAATATCTCCTCAACCATTGAACATATGTTCTCCAATTTTTGCATAATGGCTTGTTGTATCAATATGTCTTAACAAATCAAGATTTTTTTTAACGCCTGCTGTGGCGCTCATATGACCCTAAAACGCCTGCTAGCTGTATTCTAGAAAATTATTTTCCTTGATAATTATACTACATGTTGTAAAAAAATCCAAGTGGGTGTTTTCTATAGAGCTAGATTTTTAAATGTTTATCACAGCTGGGACAATATTGCTTTTAATAGCAGGTCCGTTTTGTTTTTCTAATGCTTAATGAACGCATGTTTTGAGAACCATTAGTGTAAAAAATGTGTTCGCTATAAAATTAATTTCTTGTAACAAGTTTTGCCACTAAAAATTGTCATTGATGAGCTGTGACGTAAGCCATAGAAATGTTTTCTAATCTAGCCCCAATTGTTCTGGAAAAATATGATTTAGTTATGACAAATTGATACTGATTGTAATACACACTGCTGTCCAAAGTATGGACGACATTGATTCACTCATTAAAGAGATATTTGAGAATAAGTTGTGCCTTAAATTTTTGACAACACTATAGATCTAGTTGATATTACACTATTACATGATTGATATGTAAAATAGTTGTATTATTATTATTATAATTATTATTACTATTATTATTATAAGCCTACTATAAAATAATATAAAAATGTCATTTTTTTCGTGTATATATAATATATATACAGTGGAGTCCACTTATAACGAGTCCGGAAAAAACGAGAAGTCTGTTATAAAGACACTATTCGAAAACCCCGTTTTTTTCTCTTCTTTACCTTTGTAAATAAAATACTGCTATAGCGCTATCAGACAAATACGCAGGTCGGTTATAGCGGAATATTGCTGCTGCTGTGCACAGTGCATAGGCCAATTATACATAATGTAAAACCTCGCCAGTTGAGAAACTTGTTGGTGATCTAGCGAAACAAAGAATGGGAGAGCCAACGTGTGTCAACAATGAAGGCCGGATCGAATGAGTAGGGAGGGTGTGGCATGCGCAGTCAAGCTGAACACATCGCGTGATAGGCCAGCGTAAACCTAGTTTAGATTATCAAGGTCTACCATGCCTCTCATTTCTCCTATGCGGGGATGGAGAGGTCACAGCAATGTGATGGATGGAGCGAATGTGTAACGTGTGCAAGCAGACGGAATGCACTACATGGTGGGTGGGGTGGGGGAAAAGACAGCAGGAGTTAGCCTAGAGACCTTTCTTTCTGATCGCCAACACCGAGCTGTCAGTCAACATCGCTAGCACTAGAGAAAGAAACCTGATTCGATTTTTGATCAAGAGACCTAGAGGTCATGTTGAAACAAAATCATCCTCATGGGAGATAGCAAAAGGAAATAAACAGAACATCAAACTCATAGATGCGGCCTACTTTAGTTTCCCTTGAATTTATTACTGGATCCCTTACAACGAGAATCCTGCTATAACGGACATTTTGCACCGGCCCCCTCCTTCTCGTTATAACAGGATTCCACTGTATATTGTTATGTGATGAAATTGTACATGTATCATAATATGTAGCCTACTTGTAATACGTTATTACGTTACATTTTTATAGTGTTACAGTCCAGCATGCACATAGCCAACATTATGAAACACGCACAATGCGCACATAGCAAACAGATTTCTGATTTTCAGGTCCCGAGTGTTTTTGTGGTTTATTTTCCTGTATGTGTGCAAGTTTTATTTGTACATGTGTATCTAAAATACGTACATGTGCATAGAGAATTCGAGAACTACCAAAAGATTTCTGCGTCCCGTAGATTTGGCCATGTGCGTGCTAGACTGTTTGTATATTATAATAATACATGTAATTGTAATGCTTTTACTAAATTACGTTACAACAATATTTTGATATTTGGTTGTGTAACTGTAGATCTATACAGATCTAGATTTATCTTGTATCATTGTAAGACCTTTACCCTCAGAGTATATATAAAGTTGTTTCTTCTTTCTTTTGTCTTTTTGTTTTTGTATCTATTGGCTGGTTTGATTTTCGTGTCAATTTCAACACTGCTAGGTTACCCAAGATGAGGCAGATTCTCCTTTTTTAAAACGTCCCTATCGACACGCAATATTCAGATCATTTTGGAAGTGAACTTCCGACCTTGTCTGTAAGGGCCAACCTGGGCTGAAAGGGATACAGCATCCCAGCAGAAAGATTGAGGTATTTGATAAAGATTTTCTCCCCACTCGGGAATCGAACTCAAGTCTTTTGCGCGCATCAGCGAAGCGCCTAATTAATTGCCACACCGCAGAACCTCCAACTTTACATCCATCTTCGATATGACTCAACTAAGCGGGTGTGTAAAACATGTATGTATGGTTCCCAAACAAAGCTCGTTCACACCACCCTGCTCGGAATTTGAAGCCGAGTTCTTCAGTTTGTGATCCAGCATAACGACGATTGATCTGATGGTGCGTCCGTTATACGAGTATATCCGAGATATATATTGTAGATGTTTTACGCGCCCAATAACACAATTTAGATCAATTAGGAGACAGTCTTCCCACCCTGCCCGTCAGTGCTGACAACCTGGGTGCAGATATTTTGTGAAAAATGTAGTTTTTATTTTCACCTATGAACTCATGATGTTTTGCTGGAAGAGCCCAGATCAATCTAACCAAACTGATCGGTGACGTCACAGAGAGCATTCACATTACATTAAAAATTATGCTCTGTTTAGGTATATGTGCTTAAAAATAACAAGGAAAAAAAAACTGTCCCCAAAGATTGTGGCAAAATCCATGTTGGTACAGGTAGGGCCTGCTTATTGACAAAGATTTCTTAATTTTTATGAAGTTGGTGATTTTACAACGCCATTGGCACAATTAAGATCACTTCGAGGTGGGCTTCACCCTTGCCTGTCAAGGCCAATCCGGGCTGGAAAAAAAAAGGCGTGGGGTGGTGGGGGGGGAGATACGACATACCAGCAGGGAGACTGAGATATCCGATAAAATTTTTCCCTACTCTGGAAAAGAACAATTGTCTTCTGTATGCGACGACAAATCACCTTATCGCTACACCACAGATGCTGGTCACATATTGTGGTAGAGGTCTATGTTTGTATGTGTGTGAGCGTGTGTCGTGTCTGTGATTGTGTTTTTTTTAGTTTTAGTAAGAGTTTTACGGCCTTTGCAACACAATAAGGTCATATAAGTGCCGAAGAAAAGAGGTG